ACTCCTCCGCCTTCAATACCATCCCGCGCCCTCTTCTACTTACCAAAACATCCGCGTGCCGCTCTCCGGGCTGGGTCGTCTCTTGGCCTAGCGATTATTTTACGTCGCGCATTCAATTTGTCCATATGGCAAGCGGGAATCAACGGACCTTCCCAATGACTGCGGAGTTCTTCAAGGTTCCATTCGGTCCCCTCACCTTTTCTCCCTCAACACCGACGATCTAAGATCCCCTAACGATTGTCTTTTGGTTAAGTATGCTGATGATGTGGTTGTTTGACACCCCCTCAAGAGTCAGACACACCTCCCGTCTCCTAAGGATGGCCTAAATCATGTCCTAGTATGGTCGAAGGAAAATGGTCTCCTGATGAACAACCAAAAATCATTTCAGTGTATTTACCGACTGCGGCCCTCTTCTAGTCCTGAATACTCTGACATCCTTCCTAACGAGGAATCCTCGGCCTGGTATCTTTGTGTTTCTTTGTCATCAAATCTTTCATTTTCCCTCCACATTGAGTCCCTATTTAGTAAAGTTCCTAAACTTCTTTATTACATTCGTCGTTTACGTTCCCACCACACACCTCAACCCTTAGTCTGGCGATTCATCGATGCCTGAATTCTGCAGCTCATCATATACTGCTCTCCTGTCATTTTTCCTGCTTTGCTCAAAAAAAAGATCTTTTAATTTTGAAATGAGTCCTCCGAATGCTCTGTTCTGCCGCTGTGTTTCTTATATTTTTTCAGTCGATATTATCCTACAAGGACATTTCAATACGGTCAAGCAATTTGCTGGTCGGATTATAGATGACGTTGCCCATCCCTTGCATTCTGATCTTATTTCTGCGAAGTCTCCCGCCAAATGCGCGGCAGCTTCCGACTTATGTCTTGTCGCACATCGGCATTTCGAGCTTCTGTACTGCCATTCCTTGTGCGCTATCGTACGTGTGAAGAGATAGAAATACAGAAGTTAAGATTTGAACTGTCCTCATAATAATCGTTCCTATTGTGTTAAACCTTTTGACTCTGAAATAATCTATGAACTTATTTACTGCCCATTGTGAATTGGGCCATTTTTGCTGAAAATTTTGAAATTATGATTTAGAAATAAAGCGAATTCCTCTCTCTCTCTCTCTCTCTCTCACACACACACACACACACACACACGTAGTTGGCTAATCAAACAACGTCTTCCCAAAGGGGACTGTGTCATTCTCGTGTCCAACCGTATCCAATCCGAGTCACGAAGTAGACCGCATCGACAATCTGGCATGAATGAGCTCGCGTTCATGGGTAAACTAGAGAGCATATTCGATGCGCCACTTACACAACTTTATAACGCAGTGAATGTTTGCCTGAGATCGTTAAGCTATGACCACTACATGTAGTCGTAACTGTCGCAACCGTAGAATCCCTTCAGCTAAAGTTAACAGACACATCTTGGAGTTAAAATGCTGCCTATCGGTCATTGCTCTAGTTTCCAAGTATTAAAAAAACTTAGTTAGTCTCCTGCCAACGTCTAGTCCCGCCTCTCGGATGTTGTCAAGCGTGGCTTGACGTGGCCACGGCGACGCCTATTTTGGAGAAATTTTAGGATGCATTTCAGTCCTTCAAGTGACACATTTAGCGTTTGTATTTACTGCGACTGCCTAAATAGATGTTAATTCATCTAGAAAGATCCCGGTGGCCTCACGTCTTGGCGATGAAAAGATACTGGCTAAGATGATCTTGTTTAAGTGGGCCACATCGAGGGCGTTTATCTGCTGCGCTGTCTGCCGTGGGTACGGCAGTTTGCCTATTCTCTGAAAGCTTGTGGCATAGTGTTTCTTCGATTTCATGCCTGATATGCCTTTTTGGTCTACATTGTGCCACTGAAAATGCATTTTGCGTTAATCAGGTTGGAACTAGATCTGTTAACCAACCATTACTTCTGATTTAACTGTAGGTGCTGAATGTGTATTCACACCATCTGTAAGCCGATTGTTTTGTCCGCTGGAGGAAAATATAAGATTGACGAGAATATGCGCATCCCAGGTTCTTGTTTAAAAGATGGCGAAGGCACGATCACTGGGACAGTAGGTTTATTTGCCTGAGCTTTCGAACTCGAACTAGAGTTCATCATCAGAGACTACTCGAGTGCAGCAAATTGTGAACATTTATATCGTTCGTCCTTGCGGGGGTGGGGGCGTCGCTGCATACGTGCGCACCCACGCCGGACAAACGGAAGAGAGACACCAACAATTGGGCACTCCCTACGTACATAAAGAATGTGTCCGAGGCTACAGAACGCATCACGTCAGAGCTAGGCGTGGGCATCGCTCATCATCCGGCGGCCACCATGCGTAGCAGGATCATGAAAATGAAGGATCGGCTGGACGCAGGTGAACAGTCGGCGTAGTCTATCAAATCCCGTGCCAAAACTGTCCTTGCCACTACACAGGCCAGACAGGACGACGTCTGAGCTCACGAATACTTGAGCACAAATGGGCCGTTCGGAGAGGCGACCCACTGTCTCAAGTAGCCACTCACACGCTGGAGGAAGAGCATGAGTTCAACTTCGCCAACACGCGGATATTGGCGCAAGCCGGCAACAAGACAGGGCGAGAGCTGTTGGAGACGTTGGTGTCGGACACCAACTCCATCAACAGACACATCGATTTGCCTGCGTGTTATCACGCGCTCCGCCCACGCAGCCAGGTGGCGCAGCTCGCACCGTCGCGAAGTACAAACGGCGTCACCACGCAGGGGAACATCGTGGACCAGGCGGCACAAACCCTACCTAGCCACGGACGTACTCCCCCTCCCCCCTCGCAAGGACGAACGATATAAATGTTCACAATTTGCTGCACTCGAGTAGTCTCTGATGACGAACTCTAGTTCGAGTTCGAAAGCTCAGGCAAATAAACCTACTGTCCCAGTGATCGTGCCTTCGCCTTCTTTTAAAATATAAGATGTAAGTCCTACGTATTTCATCGGAGCACGATTTGCAAGTCGATTGAGCGTGAGAGAAGGCGTATTTTCTCAGGCAGACCTCGGACTCGGACGATGATGACGACCTACTGTGTCGTTTGAGGCAGCTACTTGGTTGACTAACTCCCACACCACCACCACCCCCCGTATACCGAGTGATGTGTAAATATCGCCTATACTTCGTGGGCCAAGAACAGGCGAACATATGGTCCACGTCTCCTCACTATCGGTTCCGCTGAGTCAACATATAACACCTGCCATATATCAGCAACCGCGCTTTATTAATAGTCGTAGTAATCGTAAATCCGCCTATCCATCTTAGGAGACTGGAACGTCATGCGCACCGCTCTCTTTACATGACCCTCGTTGGCCGACCGACCGACTGTAGAACTCCATCGGAACCGCATTTCACTGTGACTAGCGTCGGAACCCACCCGTCCCCACCCCCTCCCTCACCGCGGAGATAATTTGCGGTCCCAAGGGCTTCGCGCCGTCACCGACTCTTGTCAAGAGTGCGCAGGTAAATTGGTGTGGCCTTTGACCTAGCGGTCGGTGAACATCTCGACTTCCTTGCACCTGCCGTGAGACAGTGGGCCGAGGCGATGATCACACTTGGAAGCCTGCAGGTCCAACGACCGCTCAGTCAAATGCCCCCAGTTATCGCCGCGAGCAACGGGGGATGGGGACAGGGGGGAGCCGTACTAGTCATAGTCGGTCAACGAGGGCCATGCGAAGTGGGCAGTGCGCATGACTTTCGAGTTTCTGAGGCTGGCCAGACGAAATCACTACTCAAAAAGTCGGTTCTCCATTAGAACACACCCTATCCCCGATGAACGCATCTCCCTCTCTCCGACTTGCCACCTGGGAATCGCATTGTCATTACTACTAATATTATTGATTACTTCAGTGGAAAATGCATTACATATTTTTTCTCACGGACCTTCTTATATTGTGGAAACCGCCAGTGCCAAGTGGAAGTGATTCCCGACGTTTTTGACGTGGACGGCCTTTAAAATCCCGCCAAGGGGAACTGACTGCCACCACTTCACGGAATTCTCATCGAAAATGCGTTACACAGCAAATGTACCTTTTGGAAACTGAGACTTGTGACTGTCTATGATGATGGGTGATGCATTTCCAATAGAAACGAATAGACGAGTTCCAGGAAGCAGACCAGAAGTAGGAGACACGATCGCTGGGACAAGAGCTTTATTAGCCTCACGTTTGGGATTCACACACGAACCCATCATCAGAGACAAAAGCAGATGCAAGTGGGTCAAGCACATGGGGCTGCAGTATTTGTAGGGTGCAGTCGTCATGCTACCGCATACCTATCAATATCCACGGCTTCCCCCTTCATCCAGGATCGTGGCACTTGGTGTGCTGACTGTTTGATGGGCGACATTCGCGTCGTTAATTGCTGCAATCTCATCACGTGCGTTGGATGTTGGTGTGATGATTGCTCGAGCATGTGATCCACCGACCCTGGCGTTGGGACCAGTGTTCACCTGTGCGCCCACCGCGTGGCTAATTACTGCGCCTACGCGAAGTCTCAGTACTGGGTATGAAAGCTGAATGTCATTGCACTTGTTAATGGATTGGGGGCCAGTAAACCATGATTCAAGCAGATCCCGGCTCACTCGGTTGTGACCTCTTGCGATAATTTCGTCTTCGTCGAACATGGGACATAGAACTGTCGGTCCTCCAGTAAACCTTTGGCTTTTTGAAGGTAGTTTGCCCTGTCCAGTACAACCGTGGAGCGCCACTTGTCTGCTGGCACGATGACCCCGTCTTTGTAGGCCTTGAGTTCTCTACGCGCATCACGTTCGACCACGTCCCATTTTCCACGTTTGACGTTACATCCCTCTATTCTCCAGAACCTGGCAATCGAGACAATAGAGCTGCATCTACAAAGCAAATACGATGAAACGGAGAATCGTCTTGGACGCGTCCAAGTCCTTCAGATTCTGAAGTTCTGTCTCAGTGCGTACTTCACGTTCGACGGTACAATCTAGGAACAGGTGAAGGCCACACCAATGGGTTCGACGATTGCGGGATTCATCGTCGAGGCGGTCCTGCAGCGGTTAGAGTCGCTGGTCTTCCAACACTACAGACCGAAATTCTGGGCCCGGTATGTGGATGACACCGTTGTTGTTATCGACCGGGATCAGCTGCTGACATTCAAGGAACATCTGAATGCAGGCTTCCCGGGCATACAATTTACGATGGAGGAGGAAGAGAACACCCTGCTCGCCTTACTGGATATCCTCGTATGCCGCAAATACTGTGGTGGACTAAAAACCAAAGTGTTCAGGAAAGCGACAAATACGGTGCACGTACTGAACTTCAACAGCAACCACCCAATCAGCTACAAACGCGGTTGTGTAAGGACAAGAGAGCTGAATTACAATACCTCCGACAGGTATTCAAAGCCAATGGCTATCCGCGCAACTTCGTCGACCGGGGCATACGCAAAATGGACGAAAGGCCTAACAGCACGGACACCAAAGTTTGGCGAGCGCTTCCATATGTCAAGAACGTTTCGGAAGCTGTTGGCCGCCTTCTCGCACCACTTGGGGTTGGAGTTGCACTCAGATCGGAGGCGACCATCAGGCGTCTGATAATGAAACCAAAAGACCCGCTGCCACGGCTAGAAACGTCTGGTGTCGTTTACCGGATCTGGTGCAGCTACGGACAAAGCAACTACGGTGGAGAAACCGGAAGACAGCCCCGAACGCGAACGACCGAACACGCTGCAGCGGTGTGGAGAAATGATGCCAGCTCTCAAGTTGCGGCTCATTCGACGAGATCCGGCCACTCATTCAAATTCGACGAGGCCGAAATTATCGCAAGAGATGACAACCGAGTGAGCCGGGACCTGCTCGAATCATGGTTTACTGACCCCCAGTCCATTAACAAGTGCAGTGACCTTTCCCTTCCATACTCAGTGCTGAAACTTCGCCTAGGCCGAGTCATTAGCCACGCGGTGGGCGCACAGGTGAACATTTGTGCCAACGACAGCCTCGGTGGACCAAACGGTCGAGCAATCATCACACCAACATCCAACGCACGTGATGAGATTGCAGCAATTAACGACGCGAATGTCGCCCATCAAACAGTCAGCACACCAAGTGCCACGATCCTGGATGAAGGGGGAAGCCGTGAATATTGATAGGTATGCGGTAGCATGCCGACTGCACCCTACAAATACTGCAGCCCCTTGTGCATGAACCACTCGTATCTGCCTTTGTCTCTGATGATGAGTTCGAGTGTGAATCCCAAACGTGAGGCTAATAAAGCTCTTGTCCCAGCGATCGTGTCTCCTTCTTCAAGACTTCTCCCTGGGACTCGTCTCTTCGCTTCTGTTAGTCCTGATACCATTCCGCTTTTTGGTACGAGAAGACTGTGTGGATGGGTACACGGGTCTCCGAAAGTGAGACCGTTAATTCTCTGAACCCTCACTCTCGTGTGCGACGCACCTCAACCCAACCTCTGGGGCTGTTCAAAGAGGCGATTTAATACACATTAACCAATAGTCGAGGAAGGCTGAAAATCGGGCCCAAAGTTAGGGCGGAATTAGGCAACTTTTGTTGAATGAGGGGTACTCTTGAGTGGTCTTCGACAGCTCCATTGTCTAACGCATCATATTCGCCTTTCGACTCGAACTAATGTACTCAACTCTACTCCTCTATCGTTAAAAACCAAAGTTCATTTCCACGCACGTCTCAGTCCCTTGGTAACTCTAATACCACAATATCATCTCCCATTCATTAAAGACCTTCTGCAGCTCCTCTGGGATACAACGACTTCGCCCATATGCTTTAAAGCGTTGGGCGAACATCCGCTCGGAAGGAAGTGGCGCCTAAAAATAACTTCCAGATTAGGTTTCCTATTATCGTATTGTTTGTGTACAGCAAATGCGAAATCAATTTCCATACCTCCATGCGTTTTAATTCATAAATATGCCACATCATACAAATGAAACAATATATGACAAAATGGGGACGTAGTCGGTACATTTAGGGAAGCACTGCATCAGTAGATAGACAAAATACGGAAAAACTTGCGACAGTCTGTTAATTCACTGCATGTCTGCGAAGTTAGCAATTACACTCACATATCCACGAGGGGGAATAAGTGTATGCTCGTTTAAGCTCGTCGTACATTTATGGCTGTAATGCTTGTGGTGATCGCCATGGCCATCGCGAAGGACATTCCGATCACAGCCAGCAGAGGACAGTAGATTGAATCCAACTTGGCGAAGTAAAATGCAATTGCAGCCAGAGCGAAGATACCTCCAAGCCAGGTCAGTCCTAGGGAGACTGGCATGGCCCAGGATCTTGAGGTTACGCAGTCCACAATGACAACTGCGAGGGCCACGAGGTTGATCAAGATGGCACAGACGAGGAGGGCTCCCACAATCTGATAGGGCTCCTTCTCTACTGAATTCAGACAGGAGGTCAACACGCCACCACATCGCCAGTTTTGCAGCGCCACGGCGAGAATGAGAAAAAGGAGGGAAAGAAGAAGACCAACAGTGAGGTAACTTTTGGTTTTATCCATTTTTGTCCTCTGCTGTTCCCGTTTGTATGCCGAAAACTGATGTGCAGATGAGAAGCAGGAATGGAAGGCGAAGCAGCGACCTCGGGGCCTGCAGTCACCGTGCTTACTGGCCAGAGGTGGGGGACGCCTTTTATGCTGCTACTCGCCTTGTCTAGTTGGCGCGTCCTGATTGGTCACATGCGTAGGACCTTATCGCCAGCTTTCTGCGATCAATCGGTGCTCGGACTCGCTCGCTCGCTCGCGCGTGCGTGAACGCTTTTCGGCGGAGCAGTTGTCTGCCGGGGCGTCAGTGCATTTTCATCTGCACGCCGAGTGCGCCTTCTTGTCAAGCTATTCCGGCCAAACCCGCTCGTACTTTCAGCTGCTGTGATTTACTGGAAGACGATTAGTTTCGGCACGTTGTGTCACTGTTTAGAGTTCAGACGCGTGCCGTCTCCAATATTTGTGGGGTAAAACGTTCCCGAAATGTAAGTGGAAGATCGATAATACTCGTAACTGGCAGGATGGTTCGATGAAGCACATATGAGAATTTTGTTAGTGCTGTTCAAGTGCACTTTTTTAGTCCTTTCTAAAAGCTGTTAAGGTGTTTGTCGGATCACATTACCTGTAGGAGCATGCCACGCTTCAGTTACAGGTGTAGGAGAGAATACCTTTAACAGTTGCAAGGAATTTTCGGTAGGATTACTCATTCAGCCATCGTGGGAGTCGTCACGTTTTTATTAATACTAAATGCCTTGATACTCTCTGATGAGCAGGCGGGACTTTGGTTGACAATTGTGGATGGGGCATGAAGTGAGTGGTCTTTGTGGGCTGCAGTTACACCTAGTGACTACCATGTGGCATCAAAAATTAAGGAGAAAAATTCAGCCTATTTGTGGAGTAGATTCGACCGCCACCTGATGGCCCGTTCGCGTAACTCACACCAAGTCTGTTAAACCTAGTTGCTTTGTAGCCTGTCTGGATTAAGTCGTCTGAGTTGGCTTACTTCCTGCCGCCCGTACGTGGAACGAGCGTAAATAAGCAGAATTTTACGTAAACACGGTTCAATAATTGGCACGGTTAGTAAATGTTACACTTACAACCAAATATATATAAGCGTACAGTCAGAAAGATGTGGCGTATAGTCAGAAAGGTAGTATCAAGTTACGCGGGAAAAGACGGAAGATTCCAACAAATAGTACGAGGGTTTGAGAGAAACGGAACGACGTAATTTTCGGAGACGTACAAAAATGTAAATTATATGGCAAAAGATGTCAATACAAAGGGAACAACATACGTGGGAGCGTACATTGTTTAAGTAGTCATTTTTGTGCGAAACGTAGTTTATTGTCCCTTTTTAATTTCCTCAGAAATTGACTACGAACTTGGATTAGATCAGTTTATTCAAGGTCTAGAGGCTCAGGTTCAGATTTTCCTGTATGAATACTTGGGCCGAAGTCCATCAGCCACAACTGGTAACCGCGTAATATTCATTAACTGCCGACATGCAGCTTGTAATATACTTTAGGGTAAGATAATACCATACTCACAGCACGGGTACTAACCAAAAGCCCATACACGCGTGTTTCGCCGATATTCTACTGCTGCATGGCACGGCTGCGAGGGGTTCGGCTCGTCAGTGGGTCTCCTCAGAATTTGTTTTATTGTTAATAGGCTGGTTTGATACCCTGAACCTGTGTGTAGGAGTTTCCTCTAGCCACAACGGTCACATGCGAAGTTGAAAGCGTCCGTGTGACGCAATTGGACGAGGGTATGATATGCAACCCCCTGGGAAAACCGTAGTTAACTATGTCCCTAACGCCAACCATGACCATGGCTGTAATGGGTAACCCTAACCATTGACCCGTACGCATTTGGGAAAAACTTGAACGCAACCGCAACCCTAATCCTACGCCTTAAATCTCTAACCCAAACCTTAAAACCCTAGCCCAAACTCCTGACACTAATTCTAAACCCCGACCCTAGCCTCAACCGCAAGTACAGACTATAACCCAAGCGTGACAACCTCGGCCCTAAATCCAACCGTGTCCCTAACCCTAGCCTTCAGCCCGATCCGTGCAACTGTGGCGTCAATAACGTCAGTGAAGATCGAAATCCGCGTACTGCATAACTCCTTTGCCAACCTTTTTTCAGACAAACTGTTGTGAACCACAGAATAGCGTTACCGACAGAGACAAGGGAGACTGGAATAGCAATTTCTGGTTGATTAGCCGTCGTCAGTCAACCATACCTAACCTCGAGGTGTGCAAACCCTGGGACCCGGTCCAACGCAAATGCGGCTCAAAGTGGGACTGTGGTGCCCCGCGACGCAAAATATACAGGTGAATTCGCTACGACTACACGAGATTTTCTGCCAGATACTGACGCTTCGAATTGTTGCGCGCGATGCAAATACTGCAGGGATCTCGCGTTAAACATTGACAGTTCGTCCGTCGATTTCGACGATGACCACCGTATGCCCCACAGACTGCATTGTGGCAGCAGGGACGGTGACTTACGCAGGGGGTTTATAGTGCCAGTAGACTTGCGTAGCATCTACCTACACTCTCTCCTCCTCCCCCGCCTGGGCCCGGTGTCAAAACAGAGTCAAGAAGACCGGAGACGAGGGAGGCCGCAGGTGGATGGCTCGGACGGATCCTCACCTTGGCGTTCCACCACACCCCCTGGTCCACACAACAATAACCAGGATTTCAATCAACATAACAGAGATTTGGAGGCTGGC